TTCTTTGTTAACGGGGCTAAAAAAACACTATACATTTAACAACGCCGTAACGGCAAAGCGCGGGTCGTGGCTGCTTGTGGTCGTTAAAACTTCATGGTAATATGAGTGTCCTGGATAAAATGAAATGGGCTCGCAAAAGCCCATATGAAAAGGGAAGCCCGTACGTGCTGCTGATTGTTTATAGCTTCAGCTTAAAGGAGCAAGTCTTCTTTCCTCTGTACATGCTCTGCTGCCTCAGCCTGGTGGTGTCTTCTTCTCTCTGTCAAGAAACGAAACGAAAAGCGAAGGGAAGTAGCAGGAATGGGAAGTGGTGGAGATGTGGAGGATATGCTGAAGGACGAGAAGAACCCTCCCCCTCTGGATGAGGACGATATCGCTCTCCTCAAGACCTATGTATCCAACCCCCTTTTCCCTTCTAAACCCTACTTTTATCTCTATTCACCTAACTTTCATTTATTTACCCTAATGATCATAATAGTACCCAGATCCTAATACTCTTTCTTCCATTTCTAGAATTAAAAATATAGTAAAGCTTCTTTCTTTGATTAGCTATTAGGTTTGAGCATCAGCACCATTAACTTTTTATTGCGTTTTCTTGTTGTAAGGGTAGCGCTATAACTTTTTAAGGAGTTGATTACCGGAATTTAAGTAGTACTGGTTGGTTTTATGCAGGGCTTGGGACCGTATTCTGCGAGTATAAAGAAAGCCGAGAAGGAAATTAAGGAAATGGCTAAGAAAGTCAATGATTTGTGCGGTATGTGCTTATCTCACCGATATTATTTTACTGTTGCAATCTTGTTAAAAGGGCTTCCATGGTTTTGTTATTGCTACTTGGATGCTATTGATCCATTGTATTTTGCTTCAATTTTTTCAAAAATAGGTATCAAGGAGTCTGATACTGGTTTAGCTGCACCGAGCCAATGGGATCTTGTTTCTGACAAGCAAATGATGCAGGAGGAGCAGCCCCTTCAGGTATGGATTCGGTTGAGGAGGTTTAGTCAGTAATTTGCACTTTCTGTTTTTGGTATAGTGACTTCGTTTCTTAACCAGGTGGCTAGGTGCACCAAGATAATTAGTCCAAACACCGAAGATGCCAAATACATGATAAATGTTAAGCAAATTGCCAAGGTATGCTTAAAATCTCAAGACATATTGTTGGAGTGTTTTCACATGGACAATCCTCTTGGTCAATTTTTTTTTTCTTTCAGTGATTTTTCTTTTCTAAAATCAAATCCTGAATGCAAGACACAGACGGACACATAAATTATCACATGTTAATGTTAGGTTTTTTTATGGATTATTTTCAGTAATTATTGTTTTGAACCAAAGCTACATATAATTAATCATATTTTCATTAATGTATTCTTTGTTATCCCATTCCAGTTTGTTGTTGGGTTGGGTGACAAGGTTTCCCCTACTGATATAGAAGAAGGCATGCGTGTGGGGTAGGTTTCCTTTAAACTTTGCAGTTGCACTCTACTATTTTGTTGCTTACAATGTTTGCTAAATGGATGTAACCTTATTTGAATTTTACTTCCATGTTCTCAATTTAAATTTATTGGTGATGTTTTTATATTAAAGAGGACTACCATGTTTGTAATGGATTAGTAGTAGTATAATCATGTAGAAGTAGATGATTGGTGGCTCATGGCCTATCTTCTATAACAAGACTTTGGCTGTACACAAGCACTTTAAACCATACCTGTGCTATGTCTTTTGTTTTAATTTTATGTTGTGTCTTCACATTATTCAATTTTTAATTATCCTTTTTCCATTAGCTATATTGAGGGATTATCTGTTATCACTTGGTTGGTTTGGAATCAAATCAAGTAATTGCCGTGTCTTTTGCTGCAGGGTTGATCGCAATAAATATCAGATACAGATTCCTCTTCCTCCCAAAATTGATCCTAGTGTGACCATGATGACAGTAGAGGAGAAGCCAGATGTGACATATAATGATGTTGGTGGATGTAAAGAGCAGATAGAAAAGATGCGGGAGGTATGTAAATCCTTCTCTATTTCTCTTTTGTTATCGATTAATTTACTTAGCAATTCATCGTTTTCCTTTTAAATGCCGTACTCATACCAATGAACTTGTAGGTTGTTGAGCTGCCCATGCTACACCCTGAGAAATTTGTGAAGCTTGGAATTGATCCTCCTAAGGGTGTTCTCTGCTATGGTCCTCCCGGAACTGGTAAAACACTTTTAGCCAGAGCTGTGGCTAATAGAACTGACGCTTGTTTCATTCGGGTTATTGGAAGTGAACTCGTTCAAAAATATGTTGGTGAGGGAGCCCGGATGGTCCGTGAACTTTTTCAGGTTAAGAATTGCTGCATTTTGGTGTTTATTCCCCTTACTGTTACAATGTCTTCTTATGTTAAAAATAAAATGTTCACTATTGCAGATGGCCCGTTCAAAGAAGGCTTGCATCGTGTTTTTTGATGAAATTGATGCCATAGGGGGTGCACGATTTGATGATGGTGTAGGTGGAGACAATGAAGTCCAGCGTACAATGCTTGAAATCGTCAATCAACTTGATGGGTTTGATGCCCGTGGAAACATCAAAGTTCTTATGGCAACAAACAGGTTAGATTTGCTTACTATTTGGCTGCTGTTTTATGAAATCTTTGTGGCACATTTTCTCCTTTCCATTTCCTTTTGTAAGTTGTAACTGCGTTCAGTGCTGCTTCTTAATTTTGCCCGTTGTTCTCACATAGAACCAGTCATTTCTTAGCTGCCTGCATGTTTGCAACCAATTGCTTGCTTTCCTTTGCTTTGAACATCTTGGCATGCACTTTCTGCTAGAATTTAGCTGTCAATTTTAGAAAGTTGAAAGTTGTGGGATGTGTCTGCATGTGTTTGAAAATGAATTTTTATTTTCTGAATGCTTCAATTGCTGCTCTGTTGAGCAATTTCTTGGTTTCATACTGTTGCTGTGAACTTGCAGTGCATCTTCAACTCTTAAGCATAAGATATGTTCGTTCTGTATTTCAGGCCTGACACACTAGACCCCGCACTGTTACGCCCTGGAAGATTAGACCGTAAGGTTGAGTTTGGCCTTCCAGATTTGGAGAGTAGAGCACAGATATTTAAGATCCACACCCGAACAATGAACTGTGAAAGGGATGTCCGTTTCGAGCTTTTGGCACGGCTTTGCCCGAATTCAACAGGTAAATTCTGCCTTTATGTTATGGTTCACTGTATTTAGATTCTTAATACAGAAAAATTCTTTCTGATAATATGAAATACACCACCGGGGGCTCATTAAGTTGATAAGAATTTGGAGATTTGGTTAAAAATCATAGGCTTCATTCATGGTGTTATCTTTTGTAGTACACCACCCGGGGCTCATTAAGGTGATAAGAGGTTGGAGATTTGGTTAAAAATCTTAGGCTTCAGTCTTGGTGCTATCTTTTGTAGCGTGTGTTTGTGTGAGTGATACGCCATAGAAGAAATAGGAAAGGACCATGTAGAACTGGTCTAAATTTAAAAAGCACCAGTCACCCTGGTCTACAAATCTATTCTAACCATCAACAAATTCTGAGAATTTTAGGTGGAATGGGGATGTAATTCTTTCTAGTTCTTGAGGTATAATGACAGGCTGAGAGGCTTGGTTATCTTTTGGAGACCCAAATTGTATTTGGACTTCCCCTATTTGTTAAAAAAAAAAGAACAAAATTCTAATATCATTTATCCTACATTAGATTAGTGTATTTCAGGAGGCTTTTAGATAAGAATAAAAAAGAAAGAAAGAAAAGAGCCATCGGTTGGTTCTTCCTTTGACATCAGATGCCCCCATCCCCCATTTCATTATCAATGGACTGATCTTTAGTTATCTTGGTGTATTTTGAATTATTGATTAACAATGTGGGTTTCTTCAGGAGCGGACATTAGAAGTGTGTGTACTGAAGCTGGAATGTTTGCTATTCGAGCCCGGCGGAAGACAGTAACAGAGAAGGACTTCCTTGATGCAGTGAACAAAGTAATTAAGGGATACCAAAAGTTCAGCGCAACACCGAAATATATGGTCTACAATTGAGGGAGTGATTTTGCATGTTGGATAGAGAAATTTGATGGCTGAAGCTGGAATGTTTGCTATACGAGCCCGGCAGAAGACAGTAACAGAGAAGGACTTCCTTGATGTAGCGTGAATGAAGTACTTAAGGGATACCAAAAGTTAAGTGCGACACCGAAATATGTGGTCTACAATGGAGCGGGTGATCATGCATGGTGGATAGAGAAGTTTGATGGTTAAGTGATGCAACCCTGCTGTTTTGTTGACATCAAATTCGTATTATTATAACTTCCTTCACTTGGATTTCAATGGCCGCGGACCTTTTTGTGCTTTTATGGTTTTTTCAATTTCTGTAATGGATCACAATGTTATGTTTAAGTTTCCTGCCTCAACAGCAACAGCAGGTGTTCTGTTTTGAGTGTTATTAGATATTTTTTAAAATATTTTTTATTTAGATATTAAAATAATATTTTTTTTATTTTTTAAAAAATAATTTTAATAGTAGTATATTAAAATAATTTAAAAGTATTAAAAATATTAATTTAAAGTAAAAAATTTAATTTAATTTTTTTTTTAAATACAAAAATAGAATCTAAGTTCTCGTGCAATGATATTTTGATTGAAGAAAAGCCATTTCAAAGAAAAGCATTTGAGCTGTAAAGGTTGAGCCTTCAACCACCAGAGTACCGAGCACAGAACTGAGGAAACTTGAGCAGAGACGTATTAATCAAAACAGCAGCCTGATGAGATGAAAATTTGAGTTTTCCACCATGATCAAATCTTACCTCCTACTTTAGTTTTTCCTTTATATTTAAAGATAATATTCATTGATATCACATGGAGTTCCATTCCTTTTCTTTTCGAGGATTGCCAGAATAAAAGGATTATCAGATCATGTTCCCTCTCAAACTAGTTGCTTGAATGGACCAGCAGTGAAACCTCATGAATATTCTATAAGGAGCATCAATGATCAAACATCTGAAAATCATGAAAAGGTATGGTCACCATTTTTAACTAGGAAGAGAGAGTATAACCATGTACAGAATGCCATCAACTGTCATGAAGCCATTACAGAGAGAACACCAGAAAACAAACACTAGATAGACCATGTCATTTTTAACATACCGTACCAGGCTTTTAATTCTCGTATGTGTTTATGCCAACATTCAACTACAACACACATTTATGTTGAAAAAACTTGTAAGTAAAATAAACAAAGATAAACTGAGAGGAAAAGCGGGGACGGCTATCAATCAGCGACAACAACGCAAGAAATGAATGATTTTGCAACGATGTTCAAGACATATAGTCTTGCGTGTCTGGATTGACAGCTCTTGGTGTTTCACCTTGTTCGTTTCCAATTGTTCTCTTGCTCATGTTAGCTCTCTGCACTAAACGAACCAATGCTTGAACCACTTCTGACATAGGAGGTCGAAACTCTGGCTCAGGCTGCCACAAAACAATCATAAGCATTAGAACATCAACACATACAAGACTTAGCACACCCACCCTTTCCTTTATAGAACTACAAAATGCCCCAAACTTGCCGAGCTGCTAATTTTAACTCCCAATCTCTATGTTTCAGTTTATAAACTGCAATACCAAGCTACCACACTTCAAACCCCCTTCCCTCAACCCAACCCCACCTAAGTTCCCTCTTTCAAGTTATACATTACCTGGACACAAAGAGCAATGACATCAGCAAACCGGGAGAGAGATTTGACGGGGTAGAGACCTTTGAGTTCTGGGTCAACCATTTTAGATAAAGCATCGATGTCATGGAGCTGAGGAGTTGCCCAGCGAACCAATGATTGCTCTGATCTAGGCCTTGAGCTGTTAACAATTCACATTGCAATGAGATGATTAATAACCAGCTCATTTTTATCCCATCTTCAGTTAAAATTATGTTAATAATGAGAAAATCAACATGATTAAGGCAATGAGAGAGTCACCACATTGTTTATGTTAGCACTTCACCTGTCAAATGGTTTACGTCCAGTAAGAAGCTCCAACATGACTGCACCAAAACTGTAAACATCACTCTTTAGAGTATAATGACCAGACATAGCTACCTCAGGTGCAACGTATCCAGAACCTGCATTCTGGTTCAGTACCTGCATGTGGTGGAAAATAAAATGGACTTAGAAAATCATTTAAGCAAATAGCCATGCATGGTTAGAGATTAGTCCAGCCTCTAAACTAATGCAGTGCTGCAAATGAAACAGATAAAAATTTCAACTAAAGTAAAAGAAGCTTTTCATCACCAATTAAGAGGTTGCCCATGTCAAAAAACGATCTCAACCCAAAAGCTTAATCTATTAGGTCAGGTCTCGAGAATAGTTTTATATTACTCTCTAACTCATCCATCAAGTAAAAACCCTTTGGATTTGAAACTTACACGGACTCAAACTATTTCGTGCTTGATTTTATTAATTAGAATGAAAATAGTAAGATTCGAACTCGTAACTATTTGGTCATCAAGGCTCTAATACTATATCAAAAAACTATCTCAAAATCAAGAGCAATATAAAACTATTATCACAACTTCACCTAATAGTTTAAATTTTCGAGTTGAGATGGTTTTTTAACATGATATTAGAGCCTCGATAACCGAACAGTCATGAGTTTAAATCTCACAATCTCATTCTAATTAATAAAAATTAAGCACCAAGTTTGTGCAAGTTTCAAGCTCAAAGAGTTTTTACTTAAAGAAATGTGTTAGTTAGAGAATAATATAAATCATATATCAGAAAGGACACAAAATAAATGATTTCTCACAAAAAGTGAAATAAGCTAACTTGCAACAATGAAATCACTAGTATTTTGCAAGGTAGTTCTTACAAAGTAGATCCTACAAGGAACCCAAATATCCTAGATGTTGAACCATCTCAAAATATGCTACTACCACAGCATGGCAAATTAAAATTCAGAAGAGAGACAAGCATAAGTTAGAAGTATTAATTACCTATCCAGTCATAACTTGCAGATGGCTTCATATAAAAATACAGAAAATAAAAACCCAACTTGCATGCAAATTATGCAAAAGGAAAACATTAAAAGCTAAGGAAGACAGCGATAAAAAGCTCAAAGACAACCTAATTCTTTGCAATCCACATCAAAGGAATATGATGTAACGGACTATCAAGAAATTTTAAGGAGGCTCATGACCAACCTGGTCTGCATGAGGGAGACAGCTTGCCAGGCCAGAGTCTGAGAGATGTGGATTGAGCTCTGTGTCTAATAGTATATTCACGGACTTGATATTTTTATGAACAATAGATGGTGAACAAACTTCATGCAGGTACCTGAAAGAAAAAACCCCTTGAGTATTAGGAACTGTTCATCATTAATATCACAGGTAAGGAACAACCATGATTTACGAAGAGGTTGCAAAGGTTGGACTCTTTCCCTATCATTTGGTGAAGTTCTAAATTCCAATATCAAAATTCTTTAACAAAAATCAGGAGGATGCCCTGCATCTTAGAAAAATTCACATGGAGTGGAAATGAACATGCCAAAGCAACTCCTTTGTGTGGTAAGGTTCTAGATGCTTAGAAAATTTAACAATAACAAGTTCACAAGGTTTTCCTCTTAATGCTTTTATATGATTGCTATTAATAATATTAATACCATGGAGCTAAAAAGTCAAGTATCTATTTTGTTGAATCATTCATGTGGCATTGATCAAATCCTTGTGTACACCAATAATTGAAAGATGGAGCTAATGATAAATATTGGGGTAGAGAAACCGGGTGTTCTGATCTTCTTGGCGCAACTTGATGTTAGTTAGAAACAACTGGAACCATGGAATTCTTTTTCTGAGCATATATATGCTACAAACTTACTCTAATGCCCTAGCGGTCCCCAGAGCTATCTTGACACGGGAGTTCCATATCAAAGGTTTGCTGTATTCATCTGATAGATGCAGGAAGTCATGCAATGAGCCATTTTTATGAAACTCATAAACCAGCAGATGCTGTCCATGCTCTGAGCAATAACCCACTAGTTCTGTCACGTTCGGATGATGCAACAGGGAAATGCTTGCAACTATCTCTGTAAAATCATCAGACATATCACTGGGCAGAGTGGCTGAATCTAGTTTCTTCACAGCAACAACCTACAGTGTTGTCGAAGCAGATGTTACAAACTTAATAAGATGGACAGAAAGCGCGCATGTGAAAGAAAAGAAACTTTCTGAAGGAAACATATGCACAATTTCTTCCTATATGAACACTTGCCATCACTCAATTCACATTCTTACACAACTTTCCACAGCTACCTTAACTATCAGTTGGTATGTTATTCATCATAGAGAATGGAAAGTATAGTATAAAGTATGAAAGGGGCAAGACATGTTCAAGAAGACTAGTTTTTTATCCTTTAACTGAATAGTCAAAGTGAGAAAAGTATACCTTCCCATCATCAAACTCAGCTCGATAAACACGTCCAAATAACCCCTCACCAAGAAGATGGTCGACATTGAAGCTGCCAGTAGCCATCTGCAGGTCTGCGACAGAGTACGATGTCACATTTATAGGAGTGGTAACAGGTTTCTTGACAACAATAGGCTTTGGCGAAAATTCCTCTTCATCAAATGACTTGTGACGATCAATAGGTGGAGGTCTAAGATTTATTGAGGCTGAAGTGTCAAATATCTTTGTGTTGACTGTGGAGGAAGTTTGCATAGATTTCATTTCTGCAGTACAATTTCAAAGATAAGATCACAAGAGAAAGGTCAAACCAAGAGAAAGGGAAAGATGAAGAAAAATGCTCAGCGTGATGATTTCTGAAATCAACAAGCTAATGACATGGACCTCAAGCTACACTGAAGTAGTAAAGTTCTACATGGTACTGCTTTTATTAATTTACAGGACTTGACAGGGCAGGGTCCACGCCCCAAATCAGATTCACTTAGTATAGGGACTGTAAATTTGAAAGTATTTTATCTATGCATTTAAGATATTCATCCCTAGACATTTAAAATATATCCCTTGGTCCCTTATGTTTCAAATTTTGAGTTCTAATTCTGTCAAATTATCAGCAATGAAAGTAAATAGATTGCAAAGCACACTGATAAATCATAGTTGTTTGCGGATAAATAGCAAAGCCATCCTCCTTACTTCCAGTCTAGAAAGTAACAAACAACAAAGCCCATTAAGCAAACTAATGCAGCAGTGCAAAAAGGAAAAATGATGCAAACGATACAGATGATTCATCCATGATGCTCAACAAAGTGAAAGGCACAGATAAAAAAGGTTCTACCTGGTACATCATTAGTAGAAGAAAGAGGGGCAAGTGGTTGATTGTCAAGCTTTTCTATATCCGAGGACCTCCTGGATCTTCTCTTCACTAAAAAGAAAGCTACTATCCCCCCAACAAGAAATATGGATATGATTATTCCAGCTATGCCACCAGCACCTATTCCTGATTTCTTGCTGCCACCACCAGCACCACTGCCTGATCGGCTGTCATTGCCACCAGATTTCTGACTTGGGCCTTTGCGGGCTGGAGGAGTACCAGGTGGAGGAGGGGGTGCAGGCCCTGAGTTCCAATTGTTACCATCCTTCCTGTTAAGATATTCAAGTTATAATTTTCACAAACTTCTCTCTTATGAAACAATAGTGATAATAATGAAAATTTCCTCAATGCAAATGCTTACTGTAGATTAATGCTGTTGAGCTGGCTAGGGATCCAACCTGTAAAACGATTATTTGCAACATTCCTGAAAAACATAAATGCAGATATAATAAAAGGCCTGATTTCTCAATTGCAAACAGAGAGAGGACAATGTTCCTGGTGAATTTAACAGATACACTGGTACCCACAGATTTTCAAGAGGAAGATTGGCGAGGACATCAATAGCTCCAGTAAACTGATTGCTTTGCAAATACCTGCCAAAGGACTAATTAAGGAAAAGGTGGCCAAGACAATATGCTAAGCTCTACTATCAGAGAAGCCCATTTTGAAACTTACATTGATTTCACACTTGAAAGTGAGCTAAAACTCTCAGGTAGGTCACCTGTTAGTAGGTTGAACGATACATCCCTGTAGTGGCATAGAGAAATTATCAACATTTTGTTGCCTTTTTCTTCCATAAAACTAGATAGATGTATTTAACATAATTTACAGAATGAACTTCAATTTGATCTACTTGTTGAGGAAAAAAATGGCACTTTAAATATTCAGCAGCAGACAGTATAGAGTATAATACAAGAAACAGTAATTGATATTGATAACGTTCACTTTAGCAGAAATATAATATGCACCTGCACAAGTTTTTGTTTTTGCATTGTTAACTGTAAAGTGCTAAAGTATCAACCCAAATTTCTTTAACAGGTCAAGAAATAAGAAAAGTAACCAAAGAATTATTGATACTATTAGCAATCTGTCAAAGTAACAGAGAAATCTCACAATACCCTTCAATAAGACTAATACAAACAGCCAAGTAAAATTATTATTTTATTGTTATTTAATAAGAATGTGTGAGAAGATCTCACAATGTGGAGAGAGAAGTTAGTTGTCCAAACATGTCTCCCAACTGATTCTGAAGCTGATTGTGACCAAGGTTTCTACACTCAAAGAGACAAGAAAAGGCATTAGCTTTGTACCTTGGATAGGTTGAAACCAAGAATTATTAACTTGAAATCACTTACAAGTATGTAAGAGAAGGCATTTGAGAAATGGAATAAGGGATTCCTCCACTAAGTCGATTATTAGCAAGATTTCTGCGTACAAGAGAGAATCAAGAGTAAATCATCACAAAATCAGAAAAGGCAGGAATAACTTAAATAAGAAAGAAATGAAATTTGAAGCTCACAATCGCTGCAAGTTTGGAGGAAGTTGATAAGGTAAAGCGCCTGCAAGATTATTATTACTCAAGTCTCTGGAGAACACAAGGTATCACGATGTCACAACATAGAAAATCTATAGAAATGAGACCAACACGTATACTGGATAAGTAATCTCACAGGTTCGTTACTGCTTTCAAACTGTCAAGCTGGTACCCTAGTGACCCAGAAAGTCCAAGACCAGGCAATTTACTGGGAAAAAAAACACAATACAGGTAAAAGAATCAGTGCCAATAGCATTCTAATGGATACAATGTCAGAAAAAACAGATTCTACACAGAAGATTACATTTCTGTAACTCGTGAGCCTGAGCAAGTAATGCCTTTCCAGTTTTGCCCACATGGATCATCACCATTTGCACTCCATTGTGTTAGCTGCGCCGGTGAATTCATACTGCTGAACATAACCCGTAGAGCAGAAGCTGCAAGACAAACAAGCAAAAAATTAGGATAGATGCTCAGTATAGAGAGGATCATCAACCATATATGTAGCCAACTAAAAATTTTCCAAAAGATATTTCTGAATTTCAAATCACAGGCAAGTGAACATATCACTGACATTTCAGAGTCTGGAGTTCAATATGTGATATTTAGCCGTTGTCTGAGCACTTGGCTATTGATGTTTTATCTTTTCTTGAAAAGCCGTAGCCTGCTAGTATAGCACTATTCATGTAAAAAAAAACTTCTCAGAACATGGACTTCTTGGTTAATTCTAGATGTTGACCATGTGCTCATCTTTGGCTCTTAAATGGAATGGCTGGCTTTCTCGCAAACCAAGTGGGAATTGAGTGGTGAAGAGGAAAGTGGGAAAATGAAAGAAACACATTGGAGAAATTTCCCTATTACTATTTACATGCATCCATCTTCCATGGGTGCTCAGTTCAAGAAGCGAACTCAGTACTTCTTAAGGCAACTGTTCAAGAAAAAGACCCAGCCTTGTACAAAAGTAATTTCTAACTCCCTCAATTCAAAACCCAATATTAAAAGAGAGACAGGAGAGTGAGAAACAGAGAAGGAATGATTTAGTTACGCTATGGAACCTTTTTGACTGTCAAGACAAATTTGGAGGTCAAGGCTCATCAATGTCAGAGAGGATCAACTCTTAACCTTATAGGAGTCTGTGTACTTCACAAAGTTGATGAAATTGCCGGTTCATGGTGAGTGTTTCTGGAAACACCTTGGACTAAATGTCATCTAGAACAAGGATTTTACTCTTCAGACTGTTCAAACTTCAAAGCATCAAGCATTCTGCCTACTGAGCACTGACTCTCTTCGAACTTGAAATGAAGTATGGCTTCTATAACTTCTCCAATGCTTAAAATGGAATCAATCTTGATACTCAACAATCATTTACAGAAATGCCTAATCAACATTCTGTTGGGATCACTACCTTATTTTTTATATCCATAAAATGATCGCCCCTTCATTCTACAAATACTGCAGTAATCCGGGAAGTCACAAGCTAATGCCAGGGGGGGTGGACAACTGGTATAAACAAGGACTTGGCAGCGAAAATTATATAAGCAAAATGATAATTTTTTTCAAGATGCTTTTTATTTCTTGATAATATTCTTTTTATTGACCAAGCAATCACCTTTGAGATAATACAAGGTAAATTAATACCCGAGATAAGAGCATCGCATGCCACTGGACCTCACAGACAGGCATAGAATCTTAGGTTTCATTAGTGATTGACATTCAAAGCAAAGCTGACACCAGTAATTCCAGACAAGAAATTGGCATTGATATTTAATATCACTGTCCTTAGCTGGAGATTCTATTTTCCCAGAAAAAAAAGAACCAAACTTTTCTCAACCCAGAACTGATCTCCACAGTTTTGCACCAATCTGCTTCTTAAATCAGCGTAAACACACTGTAGTCCAAAAATAAACAAGAAGAAAAGCAAAATCTGGAAATGCATCAAAGGCAGTATCTTCTTGTGGTTCTAATATCATAAGCAGCAGCAAAACCAAAGAGTAAATAAAAGCCAACACAAAAGGCAAAAAAAAAAAGGACCAAGAAATGCAGATGTGGCAAAAGAAATCAGCACATGGAAATCTATCTATCTGTGTAAGAATCAGAAAAGAAAAGCATAAAAAAGGTGTAAGAAGAAGATGATAATAATAATAATAAAGTAGTGAATGAAAGAGTTGAGTGAGATAACTAACCATCATTTGGATCTGTTGCACCATTGACACATCCCAGAACGCAAACCAAGAGTGTCCACACCAGCTCAACTCTTCTCCAATTCTCCATCATCTCATCTCAGAGAACCTCAGGTCTGTCCTTCTATCCCACAACCAAAAAATAAAAAAGACCACCCCTTGTCTGAATGGCTCCTTTTCAGAGTTAATCTACTTCCCTTGTTAAAAAGAAAACAATTTTTATGGAATGAATTTATTCTGAATATTTAGCCACGCCCAGGCAGGCACGATTTGCCAGAAGAATCCAAGGCCACAGGATGCGCTCCCTCTCTCTCCCCCCCCACCCCTATATTTTATTTTTAGACCATCACATTCTCCTTTGCCTTTATTTTTTTTTTTTTTTCACTTGTGCTGCTTCGTTAGGTTTATCCAATTACATGCTTTGCTTGGCTTTTTATTTCCTAAAAACAAAAAAAGAGAGTGATTCAACTAGTAAAGGGCTGTTGCTTTCACGAGGATTGGAGGCTTTTGGTGGCTTCATGTGATTTCTTTTTCAATTACTGATACGATGGTAGATAATTTTTATTTATTTTTGACATACTGTAACTTGAGTGTTAATTAACTACATGAATAATGCTAATCTATCCATTGACTGCTATATCCACATATTTATACTTACTATATCAATTAACTCAACGTTAAATTAACCACAATGAAACTATACACGTGTCTTGTAATGTTACGATAGTTATATAACTTACATTTTGTTGTTATTTGTTGTTATGTTCTGCATCAACAATGCAAGAGATGAGGGCTATTTTTTAAAAATGATTTTTATTTGAATATATATATTTTTTTATATCATTGCATTGATAAAATTTAAAAATAAAAATTTAAATCTAAATTAAAAATTTAAGAATTTTTAAAATTATAATTAAACCATGATACCAAATAAAACTTTATAAAAATACTCGCTCAATGATGCTCTTGATATTAAAATTACTATGTTAGCATGTCTAGCATTTGATATGGTTATCTACATTTTGATGAATTTAGCCATCTTGTGTTGTTTTTTTTATAGTATCGGAACATGTAATGTTAAGTTTATATGATATTTTTACAATTTTGTATGCCAAAAAAATAAAATTATATTAATAATCAAATTGATGAATATATCAGGTATTAAATAAACTATAGACCAATAGTTATTAAACAAAAACATAACCAGAAAATATCCTTATCATCCAATAAAAAAAAAAAACATCTTCGGATTTTTAGAAATTCTGGGGGTGGTGATTGGAAAGTCGATTTTCACCATGCTTGAAGGGGAGAATCATGAGATGCTTGTAAATGTGGGCTCTCTTACATTATTTTATGTATATTTTGACCCTCTCCCCCTTCCTCTCTTTCTTCACGAGCATGAGCTTGTAATTTGTAGAGATCAAAAGGTTAGGTTTAGTAGAACATTTGGTAGTGCATAAATAACCCCTATCCAACCAGAGCAAAAGCATGATTTAGATGGCTTAAAGAGAGTGTTTGAAACTGTGGGCTGTTTCTAAAGTAATTTTTATATTAAAATAATATTTTTTATTTTTTAAAAATTATTTTTTATATTGGAAAATAATCAGAAAATACAAAAAAGTATTAATTTAAAAAGTATTTCTAAAATATAAAACTGTAGACGGCATGGCATGGTGGATGACTTTGAGTCTGGTACATGGGCTGTCATTCGCAGAATATTTGGTGGATGGCTAAGGGGTTCTGAAGTCGGAATTAACGAATACTTAGAATTGTAGAAGTGGGTAAAATATCATTTTCCCTCTTTCGTGTAAGGTTCCCAACTTTCCATCATTGTCACCGGACTTGGCGGAGGTGTTTGGATTTATTATAATAATTGTTTTTTGTGTTGTGAGTTTTACGGAAAATATATCAATATGTATATTTTTTATATTTTAAAAAAATTATTTTAGATATTAATACATTAAAATAATATAAAAATATAAAAAATAATTCTAAAAAAATAAATAAATTTTCATAAAATGTTGTTTGAAATATAATTTGAAATGATAATAAAGTATCATTACCCTCTGAATCTAATTAAGATGTGTGTTGAAAAGTGTGATAAAAATTGATTTTTAAAATAATTTTTACTTTAAAATATATTAAAATTATATTTTTATTTTTATTTTTTAAAAAATATTTTTAATATTAGCTTTTCAAAACAATTAAAAGACATATAAAAATTATGTTTAAGAAAAACAATTTCTTCTAATGTTATTTAAAACGCAATTGCATACCTTTTCTCTCTAAATATAATTAAATAAATGTTTAAAAATATGATAGCAGCTATTTTTTAAAGTATTTTTTACATGAAAATACATGAAAATAATATTTTTATATTTTTATAAAAAATATTTTTAATATCAATACATCAAAATAATCAAAAAAACTTAAAAAAAATCTAAACAAAAATAATTTTTTAATTTTTTTTAGAAACACCGTTTGAGATGCAACTTCGAATAGTCCTTGATAATATCTTTATTTTACGGTCAAAACACACTTTATAAAATTTAAAAAAAATTACTTTAAATTATTTTTTTATTTTTTTAAATCATTTTAATATATTGATGTTAAAAATAAATTTTTAAAAAATATTATTTTAATATATTTTGAAATAAAAAATAATTACTTGCATGATTCTTCCTTTAAACAAGCTTGGGAAATCAAACGGAGGAAGATGGGAAATTAATTAATTCATTGAACCAAGAAAGATGTGCAAAACTATAATTTACTGAATTTCATCAGTGCATATGGTAGTGCATAAATAACTCCTATCCTGCCACGTCAAAAACATGTTTTCAGATTTAAGGTTGCATGGCATGGTCAAATGTCAGGGTTTGAGTTTGGTACATGGCGACATGTCAGTCGCAGAATATTTGGTGGATGACTAAGGGTTTCTGAGTCAGAGGTGACGGATACTTTGATTAGTAGAAGTGGGTAAAAAATCATTTTCCTGCTTCCCTTCCATTCGTTTATTTTGTTTGCGCAAGGTTCCATCATTATCACTGGAATTGGCAGAGGTGTATAGAAGTATGATAAATAAATACATTTATTTTGTTCATGTAATTAAAAGTAATTTTATGCAGGATAAATAAATAAATTTTCATGAAACATGGATTGGAATGCAATTTCAAGTGTTATCAAATTACCATTATTCTGGGAATTTAATTAAGAAGGGTATTTAAAAATATAATAACGGTTATTTTTAAAAATATTTTTTATTTAAAAATATATTAAAATAATATTTTTTATTAAAATTATTTTTATATTAACATATCAAAATGATTCAAAAATTAAAAAAATATAAAAAAAATTATCTTTAAACATGAAAATCAAATCTCTTCAAATGTTGCTTGGAACACAATTTCAAACGATACCAAAGCACCTTTGCTCTTTGAATATATATAATTAGGAGGTGCTTGGATGAATATAACTACGAGGTGTTTGGAAGTATAGTACTAGTTAATTTTTAAAATATTTTTTATTTAAAAATATATCAAAATAATAGATTTTATTTTTAAAAAACTATTTTTGATATCAGCATATCAAAATGATAAAAAAAAATATAATTTTAAGCTAACAATTTTCTCAATTTTTTTTAAAATACCTGTTTAAAATGCAATTCCAAATGGCCCAAAGAACTTGTTTGATTTTTAGGCCAAAAAGCCTTCAGAAAATTAATATATATATATATATATATTAAATTATTTTTTTTATATTTTTCGATTGTTTTGATATATCAATATTAAAAATAGAACAATTTTAAATTTTAATTTTAATATATTTTTAAATAAAAAATTATTTTAAAAATTTACTACTACTATCCTCTACTATAATCTCAAACAATATCTAATTCTTCCTTTAAACAAGCCTGGGAAATCACATGGAGAAAGATGAGAAATTAATTGATTCATTGAACCAAGCTATAAGACTTTTGGATAAAAAAACTATATACATGAGAAGGCACTCTTTACTTTTATAAAATACAAAAATTTATGTAGTTGTTTTTAAAAATATTTTTTATTTTTTAATATTTAATTTTAATATTAAAATATATTAAATGATATAAAAATATAAAAAAATATATTGAAACAGAAGAAAAAACTAATTTTTTTAAAAATATTTTTAAAATATAAAAAGGGGCTCCATCCCAGCTACCAGATGGAGTTAAAATAACAATATAGTACTTGGTCGTATTAGGTTTCCATAAAGGGCCTGGCATCCGGCAGGAATG